AAAATAATTTAATATAATATATTTTTATTTGCATTATTATAGTTATAAACTTTAAAGAATCATATGTATATAGGCTTATAACCCATATATATAATATTAAAAAAAATTGTGTTAAAATATGTACATTTATTTTAGGTTTAAGTACTATTTTTGGGTATATTTTCTCGGTTTTTATCTGAAAAAATTAATTCTTGTGACATTTGGGCATAGTGTGAAATATTTTATGAACGGATAAACACAAACTGTAGGGTTCCGTTGGTATTTCTTCACTCCTTTTGCATATTCAATATCAGTAACTCAATATGTACATAAATATATTGAACACTAAAACAGATTAGAAAATTAAAGAAGAGTAGAAGCCATCATATGGGATCTTAGTCATTTGAAATTGCCATGTATTGGTCCACGTTACATACTCTTGGAATAAAAAAAATAATTCCAAATTTTGTCTTAGTGACTCACAACACCGAACTATAGGTGACATTGCAATATTGAGGTTTTCATTGGTAACACTATCATAGAGGTCATTGATCTTTACTGCAGCTCATTCTTCCCGATTTTAATCTTATTAATTCCACACCAACAACTCCTCGACATCGTTTGAGTCATCTTCTTACCACAAAAAAAAAATTCTATATTCTCTCCTTGCTCCCTTTACCTCTCGCCTCTTCGTTAAACTCCCCCCGTAACCATAACTCTAAACCTCAACAGTTTGGCTCATAGAAACGTTATTTCATTTGGACAATGGCATCATATTACAATGATAAAGAGTGACATTGTACTCGACAATGGCATCACGATTAGTATAATAAACCGAGTATGTATTGAGTTAAGCCACTCTTTAGTCTAAAGAAACCAGAAACGATAGTTGAAGAGTAAATTCAACTTTTATTCTTAGAATTGAGTTTTTTTTAGTGCACAAGAAAACACGTTCAAAATTAAGAAAATTTAATGATTAAAAAAACTTACAGCCTAGATGAAAGCGAAATGCAAAGTTAATTGCATTTGATAAACTTAAAATCAAAAGCACAAAGTAACTCATAACTGCAAACAAACAGAGGAAGTGAATACATATATGAATTAAAAGAATTATAACATAACTATCTTACCGTACCGAAAAACACAATTATATGAAAGACATACACGACAAATAGAATTTTAATGAAAATCCAAAACGAAAATTATTAAACTGCTTGAAAACGTCAAGCTTAATGAAATTTTGCTAAAATTAAGTATAATGATCACACAACAACCATAACGGAACAACACCCGAAATCATAACTTGTTAACTGTTAAGGGTTAAAATCCAAATATAATAACATAAATTACAATTAAAAACATTATTATTAGAAACAACCGAACAAAATATAATTAGTCAAAGCGTATATATTAAAATGGACTTGCCTAACGTTAAAGTTTTACTGCAAAATAGTTAAAGAGATGCTCATCAATGCTCGGGACCAAGTATTGTCTAAGAAAAAGTTAAGTAACATGTAAAATGTAATGTGTTTGACCTCACCTTGACCTTCTTGGTTTCACCATCAACCACCTCCGTAGTGAGATGGTGCATTGTTCCTGGTGAAACAAAGACATAAATATTTTTTATGTTTCTTAACTATATTTTTAGTTGAAAGAAAAAAAGAACGTACCGAGAGATCTTACAACAAAGAATACACCTTTAACTCAAAAAAAAAAAAAAGAGAAAAGTATTAAGATGAATACATGACCATTTAAAAACCAAAGAGAAAGCTTACCATATTTGATCGGTAAATAAATAGAGGTATTGTAGGTAACCAATTGTCAAAAGGAAGACCAATTTGTGGGTTAATTAACAAAACAAATATATCAAACATACAAACGAAACTGAATAGTATGAAAACGAAGTCATGTCGTGAATGTATGACAGCAAATCTGATATACCAACAAAGTTCAAAGATATAAATGTTAGTTTTAACAATAATCTTTAAAAGAACTGAAAACCTTAATACTTAATTAGTTACATCATTCGTCAAGTAATTAAAGCCATACCTCTACAAAACAGAGGTGTACGTAAATAAAAAGAAGACAATAAATATGCAAAAAAACGAAGAACAATAACAAAACATACATAATATCCTAGCGGCAAAAAAAAAATTGTTTACCGTGAACCTTGAGGTAGTATATATATACATCATAAAGTCTTGTATAAGATTACATTTAATTGAATAATTTAAATTTAGAATATTTCCTATAATAAAAGATAACAATAGAAGATTGCCTTTAAGATTCGTGCACATCATAATAATTAAAATATATGGGCTTATTTAAATATTAAGATGGCAAGAGTGTTAATTTTTGATTTTTATTAGGGTTAATTTTGGCAAAACAAATCTAAAATTTACTGTGAGGCCGCCACTAAAAAAAGTGACTTCTCATTTCTAAGTATAGATAGTATTGAGTGGAGAAGTTAATAAATCTAAATAATGAATGGGTATAAAACATAGATTGTGTATAAAGGATAGGTACAAAATATAATTAATCGAATATCATTTTGTAAATAAATATTATGAAAAAAATTTCAAACTCAAAATCAAATCTTAGAACACATAATTCCAATAAATAATAATAAAAAACAAAAAAAACCGTATACAAATGAATTAGAGAAGCTAGCCAATAATCACACCACGTGACGGGCGGAAAATTTGTAAATATCTCTGTATGATCTCAATCTTTGGTATACGCATAAGTGAGGAGGTTCATGCATACGGGAAGGACCTACAGTAAAAAAAAAGGAATTAAAAAATAAATAAATTACATCTTATATATAGCAAAGAA